TACCACAGCAACAGCAGATTGATGAAACTGCGCATGAGCAGCCACAATAGCAACAAGGCCAGCAACAGTAACAAACAAGGCCAGCAAAAAGGCCAACAACAAGACCGCATCAGCAGCCACAAGGCCAGCAACAACCACATGAAGTCCATGATCATGAACCTAGACACCACCAACCACAACAACAACAACAAACATCTACCCCAAGTAGGGCTGCAAACGAATCGAGCCGCTCGCGAGCGACTCGAGTCAAGCTCGAGTCGAACTCGAGTTCAGAATATTAAGCTCGTTAGCTCGCGAGTCGGCTCGCGAGTTTGAGTATATATATATTTTTTTTATTTTTATTTTTATTTAATAATAAAATTACGTATATTATATATATTTTTTTATTTTTTATTTTCATAGTAAAATTACGTATATATCCTTAGTATTTTATTATTTATTAAGAAAAAAAATATTATTTTATTTATTTTTTTAAAAATAAAAAATTATTTTTTATATTTTTCGAGCTCGAGCTTGAAAATTGCCGACTCGTCGAGCTCGAGTTTAGTAAAATTTAGTCGAAACTCGGCTCGATTAGCTCAAAACTCGACTCGGTTCGGCTCGTTTGCAACCCTAACCCCAAGTCCGAGTGAAAGGACTTGTCCATCAACCCATAGCAGGAAAACTTCAATTAGGAAACCACTCACTGATGCAGAAAAAGAAGTCATAAATACTAACTATACATATTTGGGTAAGGAGCCACCGTACACAGTTGGTTCTTGCAGAGGAAAGTCGAGTGGAAGAGGTAGAGGGAGAGGAAGACAAGCCACAAAAGACAAGGGAGGGGGAAGAGCTAATTAAAGAGGGCCAACAGTCAAGAGCTAATTGACGAGGGACCACATCACATTTTTGCCAACTATTTTTTGTCTTACAATCTCCAATCTCGTTGGATGATAGTGGATGAATTCCAATCAACTTTTGTTAGTGCTGATTATGTTTTATATTTTGACTATATTTTTGTAGACCATTGACAGCAGTATTGGTTATGTAGGGTCAGTATAATATAATGGTCTTTATATTTGATTACCCCACTTTTGCAAATTTTCATGTCTTTGTCTAGTTAGTATATCTAGTTAATGGAATGTACTAGGTCATCATATTGAGGGCTACTGGGACTCAATTGAGCTTCACTGTGTCATTCCTTTCAAGCTGTGCAGTTGTACTTCAACAAACAAGTAAAACAACATTACATAGTACTTCAACAAACAAGTGAAACAACAAAACCTTGCAAATATAGTCTGATTTTTTTCCAACGAAGCATGTCTGATTTTTCATTCAACAAATCAAAACTTAGACTTCATTGCACATCTACCAATACAGTCATTACAGAGTACAGAAACAATAACATGCGCCACTTCATTCATCTTCATACTGCTCCTTCTATTTGCCTAAAAACTGTGAAATTTTCATTTTTTTTGCCCTAACTAACTAAGATTATAGTTGTAAGCATCCATGTTAACAAAAACAATGTCACCAGACACTTGTTCACCCATTTTTTGCTACGGATTTCTTTTTCTAGTTCTTTCACTTTGACCTTCAACTTTGCGACTTTCCTTTCTTGTCTTCTTACTTCTGCTTCATACGCATCTCTTTGTTGTTCAGCTACATTAATTTTTTTCAGAAACCCAGGTATGATCTTCGTTGACCGGCTGCACATCTCCTTGTCAATCCACTGTCAAAATCTGCAACCACCATCCATGCACACTGCAAATCTCCGCCTAGGATTTCTTGAAGTCCACGAAGTTATGACCCTCGACATTTTCTCACACCTGCACAATGGGAAAGGCAGATTGTTGGTTTCTCGCATGCTTTCAGTTCAGCAACTTCTTTGGTTGCAATGGAGTTTTTCTTTGTTCAAGTTCATGAAGAAGTCCCATTTTATCGAGTGGAAGACAGCTCATTGTGGACAAAAATGCCCTTCGTATTTCGGCGTACTTCTCACGTGGTCGTAGATTCCGTCGGTATTAACTGCTGAATTTGACAGAAGATCTAACATTTTGTACTTTGAATAGATCGTGGACCAAAATTTTACTTTTAATTGTTTGGGGGCCAAAACTTCATCCTACTAATAGTTTGAGAGCCACTGGGACTTTTTGCCCTTTCTATTATCATTGTGATAACTCACAACATGTGGGGCATCAGCAGTGACACTTTTAACAGGACTTTTTCCTCCAGAGGATACAACTTGACTAGGTACTTCATCATGTAATTCAACATATATATATCAACAATATCTACGCTTTCATGCACAATTGACATTAAATTTACATCTTTATCTCATTTGATTTCATCTGCTCCAACATCCAAGCCACATACTAGTACTTCAAAATATAGGTTCACATTTGAAATATCACCATACCTAGCATACATATTACACAACATATCCCTAGACAATTTTCTTGTATCACAAATTTTAAAATATAGCAATGTTGTTACTAGTATATACTAGTTTTGGTTCCCATATGAATATACCACTAAAATGCATTTTTATAGTGATCTTTCTGAAGTTGTCATTTTTTTTCAAAGCCTGCATTAGAAATGGAGATACATATGATAAGAAAAAGACACAATCTGATAAATAAAAAGACATGTAGTATATTACATATTTCAATGAACCATATGATAGCCAACAAGCCGACAAGCGAGGATTAGTCTATGCCCAAATTACCAAAATTTTATTGGCAACCAAATCATACTATATCGATTTGGCTACAATATGAGAATGACATACTGACCAAATTATACTTTAGAGATATCTAATGACAATGATAAAATTTTTAAAATTGCCAAATGTATGTGTCACCCATATCTGATACTAATCAACATTTTTTCAAACTAACAAAAACATATTTTACCCATATTTATCTATAATCCCAACGATTTTAGAACCCACATGCATTTTTGTAAATCCAATTTTAACCCATAAGTTGAATCCTAGCCGATAAAACTCTTTGCTTAAACATGATAATACTAGTTATCCCAAATTAAAAAAACTTGAAACGAATCGCCTCTTAATTGTCATAATCATTTGATTCATTAGATTTCCAACACACAATAGTACTATTTCTATTCAAAATACGCAAATGCATTTCAGATTCTAAAGTTGATGTCGAAATATTTACCAGACAGAGCAACAACATTTGTGATAGTCTTCCACAGCTATTTTATGATCTTCAATAGCGGATCTGGTGTTTTTTATTTTGGTTTTAAAACTTTTTCTCCTTCAATCATAAGTCTTTTTTCTCTCGGTTTCTCACGATGATGACCAAGCTCGCAAAAACTCTAATTTCATTTGACCTTTTTTAGTACTTATATTGGGGTAATTTGGACATTTCACCCATGTATCGTGATGATGGATGATTTCCATTTGTTTGACACTTCAACTAAAATCGAATGGGGGTTATGTATAGTTTTTAGAATTACGGGAAGTTATGTGGTTTAGAAACCACCGAAGGGTTAATTATATTTTACCCTTTGATTTTTAGCAATGCACTGCAATAATCCAAATTTCGAGAAATCAAAACAAATGTCTTCTAGCAACTAATTAGTCAAAGATCCTTTCTACCGTTCTTCTTCTTTAGCCCAAAATGCCTTTTTTTTTTTTTTTTTTATCATGATAGAGGCCAAAGCTCACATAATTAAGGTACCACAAATATACTGCCAAACAAGAACTAAAGAAAAGATAAAAGAGAAAAAAAAATCCACCAATTACATAAGAAAGAATCTTTACATTAAAAATGCAAATCAAAATAGAGAATTACCAGTGAAAAAGAAAAGCATCTCGATGACAAAAAAATTAAAAAGAAATAGAAGAGCATTAATTCTTGCCTAGATTAAAGAGAGAAGAAAAATTCCCAAATCAAATCAAAAGAGTAAATTGTGAACAATAAAACTTACTGGGCACAACTACTCCAAATTTAAAAAAAAAAATCTTATTGGATACTAAAGAAATGGAAGATTATTACTTCTTGCCCGAGATTTCAAAAAAAATAAATTTTTAATTGAAAAGAAACACCATATCCTCATGAAAACCAACCACTATTGGCTCCTATAGATCTTTACAACTCCTAGTTTCTTTCAACCAACTTTCATTCAAGAAGCTTCCCTCAATTCTATTTAGAATCATATTGGTTGCTCTTCCTTTATAAAAGTCCAATCAAAAGAATCTACTAAAAGAATCGTGCAAAGGATTCCTTAGTTGAAAAAAATTAGTATACTAAACATAGTGAACGCACATCAACATAATCATATAAAGACAACTTTCACCCTTTTATTTTTTTAGTCCATGAGATTGATAGCAAGAGTGGCTAATTTGTATTTCAACCAAAAAACTGGATCTTAGTCATTTCTCTTTTCTTTTTCTAGACTCTTACCTATCACCACTAAATATACGGATATACTGTTTGGTAGTAGTAGTAGTGTTGGCACGGTTTAGAGCCGTTCGGTAGAATCCTTTAGTGGAACAAGAGTTTATTCCAACGATAGAGGTGGCAATGTTAGTCATAGTGGATCTGGTGGCTTCTCTCAAAGCCAATTTAGGTTTAACTAAGAACATAAAACTAAATAAGGAGGGAAAAAGTGATGAGGGGACTTTAGGAAGTTCAATAAAAGACTAAGGGTAAACCGGTCACCTCATTTTTTGAATCACGTGAGAAATAAAATGTAGAAGGTAGTTAATTGCAAAAATTAGAAGATTAAGGAGCAAAGTTCAATTTATGAATAGTTGAGGGGTGCAAACTGCACTTAACCCTTAGAGTATTGAATAGTATCAACCTTTGTCCCTGGGCACGTCAAATAGGTGTCTACTTTTGTAAATTTGCCATTACCAGCTCTGCACTAGAAATCTGTGCTTTCTGCTCTAAATATTGTACAGCATGGCCAAACAGCAGATCATATTACCATTGTGCCCTTGTCTTCCTGTTGTTTTTAACCTGAATAGACAGTAGTAGTGGGGTTTTTTATTTTGGGTCCTTTCGTTCCTTCGTTCTCTTCCCCTCCACCTGAGATCAATCGACTGTGCTTATTACCCACCGCTAGGGTTCCAGCCTTCATCGATCAGAGTCGCAGCCATCAATAATCAGCATTAACATAACCATTGATTCTTCAATTTTATCATCTCAGATAATTTTTCTGCATCCGATTCCAAAATCAATAATCATTTGCGTCCTCCAAATTCATAGTCCGCCGCCTCCTCGTCGCCTTCCTCCTCTGCAGGCAGGTATTTCCCCCTATTCTGTCATGTTTTTCTTTTTTTTTTGGGATTTTGAAGTGTTTGAGTTGTCCATTTTGTTTCCGTCTTCATCAAAGCTGACTGGGATATGGAAAATTGTTTGCTTATACACACTGTATTTTTCTGTTGTGGTGGAATGGATTTGTTAGAGAGGATTTTGCCAAGAAAAGTAGGAATCTTTTTTCTGATATATGATGAGCTGATAGGAAATGCCTCTTAACATTGTCAGTAGGGTGATTAGCCTTTTTTTTTTGGGTTTACTGCATTTTGTTCCTATCAACATAGTTGGATTATTGTACTGTAATTAGAATCAACTCTAATTTTTGTTTACCAACTCATTTGAAGTTCTTTTGAACGATGGATTCGTGTTGGGCATAGTTTTGTAGCTTCAATTGAAAAATCTCATTTGGTGCATGTGTGTAATCAGTACGTCAGTTTAGGGTGATCTGCAAATGCTGATACTTTCGCTGCTAATTTTTTTCTTAGAACTTTGGCACATGCTATGTACATAACTATAGCAGCATCATACATTTTGGCAGACCCTGATCTGTAAATGTAAATCTCTAATTTTTCTGGCTATTATCTTGAAACAGAGGAGCCTTGATCCTTTGGAATGTTTGCTAAGTGTGAGCGTGTTTTTATGTCTTCCTTTTCATCTATTTCTTATTTACAAATTTGTGTTGACCATATCATCAACCAATTTCATCCAACTCTTCGTATACTTTTTGGCATACTAAATCTATTGATTTAATTACATCAACTAATTGATTTATTTAATTTGTTCTTGTACTTGCAGTAGGATCTATTTTTTTTTGGGAGAGATTTTTAAAAGCTCCAACTCTGCGAGAAAGAAGTGAAACTAGGGTTTTGATGCGTTGCACTGGTTTGGGATCTGCAGTAGTAGCAAGATATGGCCAATCATGGCGGAGGGGTCGGGGCAAAGTTTGTATCTGTTAATCTAAATAAGTCTTATGGGCAGCCTTCTAATCATAATCATCAACATTATAGTGGCTCTTATGGGCAGGCAGCTGCTGGGGCTCGGGCCAGGTTGGGAAGTGGTGGAGGGAGTGGGGGAATGGTGGTTCTGTCACGGTCGAGGATTTCACAGAAGGCTGCTGGGCCCAAATTATCTGTTCCACCCCCCTTGAATTTGCCCTCGTTGAGGAAGGAACATGAGAGGTTTGATTTATCAGGATCAAGTAGCGGAACGGCTAGTGGTACTGGGCCTGGTAGTGGACCGAGGCCCACCTCGTCCGGCATGGGTTGGACCAAGCCTGTGGCGGTAGCTTTGCCAGAGAAAGATGTTGGTGATGGTGATCTGCAGGTTGAGCCTACTGGACATGGTATTGATGGTGACAGTAGAGTCAATAGTGCTTATATGCCACCTTCAGCTCGGGCTAGTGGTATTGCAGTTGCTACTTCAAGTGCTAGTTCTGCTAGACCTTTTCCTAAGGCAGTGGACAGAGCTGTGGTTTTGAGGGGTGAGGATTTTCCTTCTCTACAAGCTGTATTACCTGTATTACCTGGGCCTGGGCAGAAACCGCAGGATAATGTGAATCAGAAACAGAAACTAGTTACCTCTGAGGAGTCAACTGACCTACAGCGGGACAGTTTTCTTTTAAATTCACTTGTTGATATGCGTCCACATGGCCAGGCTTCACGTCATACAAGTGGAAATGGCGCCATGGAGAACGGTGGTGAGGGCCATGGGTTGGGTAGTTCGCACCTAGCTGATCAGCCTCGGAAAGAAGAGTACTTTCCTGGCCCCCTGCCATTAGTCAAGTTAAATCCAAGGTCTGATTGGGCTGATGATGAGCGTGATACAGGACATGGTATTACTGAACGAAGTAGAGATTTTGGGTATTCAAAAACTGATAGAAACAGTGTTGTGGCAAGAACAACTGCTTTTAACAAAGATTTTGGGAAGGATATCAAGTACATGCCACCACATGTTGGGGACCCCCTACAAGATGGTGGTTTTTCAGCAAGCGAGGAAACTACTCATTTAAGGAGGAATGGAAGCCATTTTGTGGAAGCGCGACAACAGTGGAACAACATAAAGGAATCATATAACAGCCGAGGGTCTGAATGGAATACACGGGAGCGCTATGGTGCTGAACAATCCAACAGATATAGGGGTGACAATTTCCAGAATAGCAACATCTCTAAATCTATGTATGCTTCGGGTGGAAAAATGCCTCCTGGGACTGATCCACTGCTGACTTCTGTAAGGGACAAACGTGTCTCTTCAAAAACTGAAAGATCATATTTTGAGGATCCTTTTATAAGTTCTGCAGGTTTTGATGAAAGGGATCCCTTCTCTGGTAGTCTCGTTGGAGTTATTAAAAGGAAAAAGGATGTGGTCAAACAGACTTTTTTGCATGACCCTGTTCGGGAATCATTCGAAGCTGAACTTGAAAGGGTTCAGAAGATGCAGGAACTTGAGAGGCAGCGGATTATTGAAGAACAAGAAAGAGCTTTGGAACAGGCTCGAAGAGAAGAGGAGGAGAGACAACGGCTTATTAGGGAAGAGGAAGAACGCGTGCGAAGGCTGGAAGAGGAAGCACAGGAAGCTGCATGGAGGGCAGAACAGGAGCGTTTGGAGGCTATTCGAAGAACAGAAGAGCAGAGAATTGCCAGAGAAGAAGAGAAAAAGAGGATTCTTGTGGAGGAGGAGAGGAGGAAGATAGCAGCTAAACAAAAGCTTCTGGAATTGGAAGAAAGAATGGCCAAGAGGCAGGCTGAAGCTGTCAAATCTGATTCTTCTGTCGCTACTACGAACTTAGATGACAAATTTTCAGCAATACTGAAGGAAAAAGACGTCTCCCCTTCTACAGATGTTGAAACATGGGAAGATAGTGAGAAAATGGTGGAAAGGATAACAGCATCAGCTTCTTTTGACTCAACTGTTCTAAACAGGCCTTTTGACGTTAGTTCTAGGCCATATCCTACCAGAGATGGATCTTCGGGTTTTCTTGACAGAGGAAAGTCTTTGAACTCATGGAGAAGGGATGTGTTTGAAAATGGCAATACTTCTTCGTCACAGCTACTGGAAAATGAGATTGGTCACTTCAGTCCCAGGAGAGATTCATTTGCCAACTCGAGAGCGGTCTCTAGGAAAGAATTTCATGGAGGGGCAGGATATATGTCTTCTAGTGCTCATGTAAGAGGAGGGAAAGAATCTTATGCAGATGAATTTGGCTATCACAAAGACCAGAGATGGAACTTTTCAGGGGATGCAGACTCCTTGAGCAGAAGCATGGAGATGGATTCAGATTTTCAAGATAATCTTGCTGAGAAGTACAGTGATATTGGATGGGTTCAGAACCGTTTTCGAGGCAATACTCCTCCTCATCCAGAGAGGCCATATCCACATTCTGAGGCAGATGAGCTTTATTCTTATGGAAGGTCACGATATTCCATGAGACAACCTCGTGTCCTTCCTCCTCCAATTGCCTATACACAGAGGAGTTCTTTCAGGAGTACGAATGATCATCCTGGACCATCTGGATTCCTGGATGATAACCACTACAGCCATGCAGAAAGAAGTGAACCAACCAGGCAGACAGCGTATTATGGTAGTCATCAAGATGGCCTCCAGCAATCTGAACTAGATATCCCGAAAGATGATCTCACTCTTCAAGATCAGAATTCGAACAAGGATATAACTCCTAGGTGTGATTCACAATCTTCTGTATCTGTTTCGAGTCCTCCTAACTCTCCACCACATCTCTCCCATGATGAGTTGGATGATTCCAGTGATTCTCCCATGGCATCTATTACAGCGGAAGGGAAAAATGTTTCAGTGTCTGAGAATGAATCTATTAGCTTAAATGACAATTCAGGGCAGCATCTGAGGATGACTGCTTCCAGTTCCGTTTCTGCTACTGAAGATGAGGAATGGACTCTTGAGAATAACGAGGACCTGCAGGAGCAGGAAGAATATGATGAGGATGAAGATGGTTATGAGGAAGAGGATGAAGTGCGGGAAGGAGATGATGAGAATTTGGATTTGACCCAAGAATTTGAAGATTTACATTTAGAAGAGAAAGGTTCTCATTTGATGGGCAACTTGGTTTTAGGCTTTGATGAAGGTATTGAGGTTGAGATACCAAGTGATGACTTTGACAGAAATTTCAGCAATGAGGAAAGAGGCTTTGGCATATCAGACTCCTCTATCCCTATTGCGGGAGAAGAGGGACTGGTTGATGGTGTAAAAGGTGATGAACCAAGCCATGAAGATGTAGGTGGTTTTTCGCCAGTCTCAGTTATGGTCCAGGAAACTGAGATTACTACGCAAGATTCTTTTCTTAAACCTATTGAGGACCCATACACCTCAATAGCAGATACAACTGGTCTTTCTACTCAGCAAGCTTTATCTGTTTCAGTTGACATGCCATCTTCTGCAGGTCTGACAGCAGTTTCTATTGGATCTGCTCCAAGCCAAATTGATTCACCTGTTAAACTTCAGTTTGGGCTATTTTCTGGTCCTTCTCTCATACCATCTCCAGTTCCTGCCATACAGATTGGCTCGATACAGATGCCTTTACATCTTCATACTCCTATAGGAGCACCTCTTGCTCATATGCATCCATCACAACCACCCATGTTCCAGTTTGGTCAGCTCAGATATTCATCTGTCTCCCATGGAGGCCCACCCATTGCCCCTCAATCAATGCCTTTTGTTCCGCCGAATGTGCAGACTCCTTATAGCGTGAATCAGAATGCAGGGGGTTCCTTGGGTATTCAACCAGTTCTGGACACTTCTGCTCAGAACGTGGTGAAAAATGAAGTACAATCTACCGCTGGGATTAAGCAGCCTGGCTTTGTTCCTGGACGAAAAAGTGAACCTAATGGGAATGCATCATCTGAATTAAGTTCAGGTTTGGTCAGACAAACTGTGGATAGTGGTGCTCTTTCACAGAGTGCTAATGCAAAGGTTTTAAGTGGTCGTGATGACAAACTTAAACCAGAATCGGTTGGCCTAGCTGAGAATAGGGGGCAAAATGATGCTGTTAGAAAGAATCGTATTTCATCATCAAAGGGAACAATTTCTGAAGGTCAATCACTGCCAATCCAACCTATAAGTGAATCTGTTTCCAACGAGAAAAACTTTGGTGGCATTAAGGCTCAAGGTGTTGTATCAGGTAGCAAGGGGAGAAGATTCACATATGCAGTTAGGAATTCCAGCATGAGATCATCTCTTCCAGCTGCTGACGTTTCTAGTTCAGATACACATGGTTTTCAGAGGAGATCTAGGAGGACTGTCGAACGAACTGAATTTCGAGTTCGGGAGAATGTTGAAAGGAGGCAACCAAATGGCTCATTTTCTTCTAATAGCTTAAATCCGGGTGATAAACCAAATTACAATGGAAGATCTAATGCGCAGTTTGCAAGAAGTGGATCTAAGAGAGGGACCATGTCTAGTAAGTCGTTGAAGCAAATAGTTCATTCAGAGAGTTTGATGTCAGGTAATTTTATTTCCCAGGATGTTGAATCTGGGAAACTGGTCGTTAAAGAAAGTGGAAGAGACATGTCATTGAGGGATCAGAATTTCTCTCTGTCTGGAGAGGCAAGTTTGAAAAGAAACATTTCTGAGGAGGATGTTGATGCCCCCCTGCAAAGTGGGGTTGTTCGTGTTTTCAAACAACCTGGCATAGAAGCACCTAGTGACGAAGATGACTTCATTGAAGTGAGGTCGAAAAGGCAAATGCTGAATGATCGACGGGAACAGAGAGAAAAAGAAATTAAGGCAAAATTTCGGGTAATAAAGGTTGCATTGCTTGTGCGATTTTTCCGTACTTTTATGAGTTTTTGTTTTGGTTCTTGCTTTAGTGTATTTGTTGTTTGCTCAGCATGATTCAC